TAACATTTTTGTTTAAATTTCACATAAATATAGTTTAGACGTAGTGTCCAAATAGATTTTTTATTTGGTGATCTGAAGTCCTTTCTCTCAATACTTCCTTAAACTCCCAGTTTTACAAGTTATGTTTATTTCAGAAAAATTAAAAGTGCTATTTTTTCCTCCTTTTTCTAAATGAATATATAAATGTCTTGGAAGAGTTGAGTAACCATATTGCAGAAAACATGGAAAATAGAAAATATTCTTCACAGTCCTAGTGTCAGAAAACAAATGTTTGGTGTTTATTAGAACTACTTTGGCCCCATCTGTTGTTTGCCTTTTGATTTTTGTACTTTTTCTGCTCAATTTTTTTTTATTTTATTTATTTAGATATCATTTTTAAGCTTAGAAAGCATTTGAGAAAAAACTGAGGCATCATAAAATTTTAAAGAGAAGAGAAACAATTCCTGAATTGGAGAACACCAGACTGAAAAATGTTTAGTGTTCCAGTGACAAATTGCCAAATTGCCTGGGGCAAGTATTTATGGGGTAAATATGGAAGCAAAATAAAGAAACTATTTGGTTGGTTTGCAATTACAAAGTTGCCTTTTTTAAAGTACTTTGATGGAAAGTCACAAAATCATATGTTACTTGGATGTTTATTATATGTTAGTTGGCTGGGGTTATGTTTTAGTTCTAACATAAGCATTGATCAAAAATGACCCAAGTTTTGTTTTGCTTATGTTTACAATGTAAGCAAAATTGAAGATATTTGTAAGACCTACTTGATTTTGTTTGCTCAGAAATTTTTCAGGCCTAAGTCTTCATTTTAATTTTTTTTCTTTTAACATTTCACCCCCTTTAGTCATTCCTTCAGCAAAACAGTGAGCAAATGGCGTAGCATTCCTCTGGCTTAGCACTATTGATGCAGTTGTGGGGGCAAACAGTCAGGAAGATGTTACTGTTATCAAAAAAATATGCTGGGGTTCAAAGTCATATCACTGCCAGGAATTACATAGTCAGTGTTGGTTTCCTCAAGTTGTCTGAGCCAGATGGCGATCATTTGATGTTCAAGTGGCTGCTGGGAAGCATTTAAAATCCTTGGGACCATACGATACACCAGGGGTAAACCCAATAACCATAAGGAGAATTACAGCCAAGGATTGAAAAACTTCCTCTGAGCAAAGATTTCCAGGAGTCAAGATGTAACCAACTGAATAAATCAATGAAAGAGGCAGTGCTTTTCTGATTAAGGGGGAAAAAAATCATATTTTTTCTTTAAGATCTTTTAGATAAAATGCAACAATTTCTAATTTATTAACATAGCAACAACTTTTTTTAATCATAGGACAAGTTGTTGCTTATCAAGTTGTTAAGTTATCAAGAATTTCTATTTTGGAGTACTATTGAGGCTCAATTGTTCATTTCAGATTGTATCGCTTGATCAGAATTCAAAGTATTTTTCTGTGAAAACAAAAGAAAAACAAAGGTTAATATTTGAAGCAAACTATGGTCTTTCTTATCTGCCAAAAGGCAGCCAGTCAAGATTTTAGATTTGAGATTGAAGCATCTTTAGATGATGGAATGGAGATGGCAGTAGAATGTTTCCCATGTTGATGAAAAGAGTCAAACTCTGTAAAGTAATTGAAATTCTGAGCCAAATATGGGTGACCAATGGCCCGTGACGTAGCCCTCAGAAAATCCTGAGAACATGCGCCCAAGGTGGGCAGGGTACAGCTTGGCTTTATACATTTTAGGGAGACATGAGACATCAATCAAATGCTTGTAAGATTTACATTGGTTCCATCTGGAAAGACAGTTAGATTGGCAATTGGTTGAAAGAGTTATTATCTAAAGACCTGGAATCAATAGAAAGGAATGTCTGGGTTATGATGATAAGGGGTTGTGGAGACCAAAGTTTCATCAGGCAGATGAAGCCTCCAGGTAGCAGGCTTCAGAGAGAATAGACTGTGAATGTTCCTTATCAGACTTAAGGTCTTGATGTTAATGCTGGTCAGCTTTTCCCAAATTCCAACAGAGAAGAGTGTATAATGAGGCATATTGGATACCCCCTTCCTGTCATGGCCCGAACCAACTTTGGAATGCCCTTGGCCATGAGGAGGGGTCCACTCAGATGATTGGGGGGCCTTTTTATTTTATTTTAGTTTACGCTAGATTTAGTTAAATTCACAGAGATAAAACCTCAAAGAAGATGAACAGGACTACACTTTGATCATGCGTGCACTATATTTTTCTACTGAGATACAATCTTTTTCAGAGTTACTCCCATTTTTACTAAAAATAATCATTTAATTCTCTGTGGTGCTGGTGCTCCTCTACCCACATGTTCCCGATGGCCTTCATGAACAGCGTGTCCCCAGGCCTTCCCATGGAACAGGGAACATCACACTCTACTGAAGTCTTCTGGCCCCTGCCAACCCAAGGGGAGCACTGAAGAGAAGATTGTCCCTTAGAAGAGTCCTATATTGGGCAGAAATTGATCAGTCATGGTATCCCCAGCATGCTCAATCATTGGCTGAGCACCATCTAGGAAGACTATGGCTTCTTCTCCAAAGCAAGGCAGGTCTTGAAGACGCTGACAGCTGCAGTCCATCTGCTAACTGCACTTCAATGTCAGGGAAGACTAAAGCAGCACACTCCAGAGTTGCTACATCTCTGGTGGATGAGAGGTGTTCTCATAATTATCTATATTCTTGTTGTTGTTTCTATGTCTTCTCAAAGGATGTGTATGGATTGTATATTCAGAAAACCTATACAAATATTTTATAAAAATTAACTGATCGGTTTGGCACATTTTCCACCATCCTTTGCAGTGTTGGTGGTCTTAGAGAAGACAGAGTTGCAAGAATTGAGGGAAGACTACAGGAAATAAGGGAGTTGCTAGGTAACGATTCCCTGACTGGCAACATGACTATACATTACTTCCTTATAGAGTTTTTATGCTGACTGCATGAGACATCTGTGTTATCTTCCAGTGCCGTGACTGACACATGGTAGGTTTGCAGTGTGGGGTCACAGCACTCAGGCATCCAAAGAGGAGGGGGTGAGACACTGGAGAGGAGTATGAGATCTTTCTCACACTGCTACAAAGAAACACCTGAGACTGGGTAATTTATGAAGAAAAGAGGTTCGATTGGCCCACAGTTCTGCAGGCTGTACAGGAAGCATGATGCTGGCATCTGCTTGGCTTCTGGGGAGGCCTCAGGAAACTTACAATCATGGCAGAAGGTGAAGGGGGAGCAGGAACATCACATGGCCAGAGTAGGAACAAGAGAGAGGAGGAAGATGCCACACACTTTAAAACAGCCAGATCTTGTGAGAACTCACTCACTGTCATGAGGACAGTACCAAGAGGATGGTGCAAACCATTCATGAGAAATCCACCCCCAAAATCCAGTCACCTCCCTCGAGTCCCCACCTCCAGCATTGGGGATTACAATTCAACATGAGATTTGGACAGGGCATATATCCAAACCATATGAGGAGGAGCCATTTACCACAATAAAAGGAGGAGCTGAAAGGGCGGTTTATGAGAAACTGAGATCAGATGAGGGCTGATCTCTGCAGATGCCTCTGGGAAGCTAGAAAGCAGCTACTGAAAATAATTCTCATGACCCTGGAGCTAAATTTCCCTACTTTCCTTCATTCTCGGGAGGGCTCGCCTGTGTGGTATCATGCTGGTAAAGCCTCTTCCATGCTAATTACTGTGCTTCCTGCCCTCCCTGAGAAGGGGCATCACCCATTTCTACCTTCGTCCTATGACCAGGGAAACCAAGTGAGAAGTGCCAAGTTATGAGCCTAAGAACACATGTTAAAGCAGCTCCTCTCTTTCTTCAGCATGGACAGCATGCTGGTTTTTCTTGGGTACATAAATGGAAAATGAAAGCTGTGGGTTTTGCTTTTGTTTTTGTTTTTCTTTTGCAAGTAGGGATGTTAATGCCAAGTTCAGCATCTCAGATCCTTTTTCTTCTGTTAGATATATTTTTAAATCTGTTTTTAGGTATCTTGCTTTACGTGATGAGTTTTAACACTTAAGACATCTTAAAGCTAATGGAAGTGGAAGTATAATTCTTGAGCTAAAAAAAAAAAAATCTGTCCTATGGAACAAATACAAAGATTAATGAGTTAATATTTACACAAAACTTGGAGGAACATTGGCAAGTTGTAGTTTTAAATACAAAGTCATAACCAGAAATATTCTAATGTCCTTTTCCATTCTGGAAGCTGGGGAGTCCTTGTTTACTCATTAATTCCCTGTTAAGAAAAGCATGGTTTACACCTGTCACAATTCTCTAAGTTCCCAAATTAAGCTTCCTTGGGAAGCTTCCAGTGGGTTCTTCAAAAAACACAATAATAAGGGAAACAGCAATCCAAGACTTAGTATATTTTGTTCCTTTTCCAGGCCTGGCTGTCGCCTGCCCACAAAACTTTAGCCCACTCTCCTCTCATCAGGCCTCTGTCTCTTCATCGCCTGTGAGTGGCTTGGAGAGTAGATTTTAGCCAATTGAAGGTGACAAGTCCTGGGACTACCTGATGAAAGCCACAGACTTTTTTCCTCGGTAATGTGGCACACAACATTGCTGTGGGCAGCAATTATCTGAGGCCAGTATCATGCAGGCAGTAAAAATTCACCACAACAGTTGTAGGTAAAGAACAGCGGACCTGAGGTCGAGGCAGGTGGATCATTTGAAGCCAGGAGTTCAAGACCAGCCTGGCCAATATGGCGAAACCTCGTCTCTACTAAAAATACAAAAATTAGTCAGGCCTGGTGGTGCATGCCTGTAGTCCCAACTATGCAGGAGGCTGAGGCATGAGAATTGCTTGAACCCTGAACCCAGAAGGTAGAGATTGCAGTGAGCTGAGATCACACCACTGCACTCCAGCCTGGGTGGCAGAGCAAGACTCTGTCTCAAAAAAAAAGGCAGATTTATTAGGAAAAGCATAAAAATACATTGCAAGGGTACAAGGGACAAATTAGCAAGAGAGGAGCAGACCGCGAAGAGACAAAGCTTACTGGAAATATTACAGGCTGGTGCTTTTGCTGCATGCTGGGGAGGGCTTTGTCCAATATTGGTAATGTCAGGGTTGCAGTGAGATAACCTGGCTTTTGAGGTGGAGTCACACTCTGTCACCCAAGTTGGAGTGCAGCGGCATGATCTCCACTCACTGCAATCTCTGCCTCCTGGATTCAAGCGATTCTCCTGCCTCAGCCTCCCAAGTAGCTGGGATTACAGGCATGTGCCACCATACCTGGTTAATTTTTTGTATTTTTAGTAGAGACGGGGTCTTGCCATGTTGGCCAGGCTGGTCTCAAACTCCTGGCCTCATAATTTGCATTGTTCTATTTCAGCCAAGGATCTGGTGATAGTTTGGGTGCAGAAAACAACTGGATTATTTGTGCAGGAGGGCTACGTGTTCCAGACCAGGAAGAAGGGCAGATTTATCGCTTACCTGCTTTCTCTTTTTGCTTTCCCTTGGTCCTGCCAGCCTGACTCCTTTTCCCTAATTAGAGCTCCACAGACATTTCATGTACAATGTCAGGAACCTGTGGAAGGAGGAAAGCCCACTCTAGAATCCTTGCTAAAGAACCCCAGATGACCCCCAGTTCTCTGCCAACTCTTAAATGTAGTAATCCCAAGATGAAGGCGCCTCTTTGGAGCAGGAAACCAAATGTAGATGTATCAAGCTGCCAGCTGCCCTTAGAGAGCAGCCTGCTGTTCTCACACATCTCCTGGGTCTCACTGAAATGAGACTTGTGGGGAAGAGGGCACCATGCCGGGAAAGGCTGTCGGGCACGGCCGGCTGCTGGCTGTGCTTTGTGCTCTTCTCCGAGACCACAAGTATTCCCATGTTTTGAAATTGTTATTCCCTTTTCCTGGTATGAGCTTGAATTTTTCCCCTCTAAATTATGTCTACCTAGCACTATATTCACTTTGATTTTGTAGCTAAGGCTTTCTGGTAGTCACTACCCCTGGTTCTATTCCTGAGTCTTTAACTAACTCCATGAATCCAAATTAGCAAGATTATCCTCTCACTCATCAGAGGTAAGTCTTAGATGATCGTTTTATACCCATTCTTCGTGTAAAGCAATCCCTTTGATGCAGCTCACACAGGGATGCCTTGACTTGCAGAGGGACTGTATCTAATTAGACAAAGCAGAAACACTAGCATCTCAGGGCTGTGTCCCAGCCCTGAAGCCTCCAGAAATGAGCTCCTGACCTCCTTTTTAGGCAAGATCCTGACCCACTCCTGGCCTGTGGCACCTCCAGTTTCCTTGCCCCACCCTCAATGGTTCAGAGATCTCACAGATCCACCCAATGCTGCCTCTGCTTTCAGGGTTCCAGATGGACTGTGCTCCTCTCCATGGGGTCGTGCCCTGGGCAGACCTGACTCTGAATCAGTTGAAGATGCAGCAGTGCAAATTCTTTGGGTTGCAAATCACAAAAGCCTGACTCAAAGAAGTATAAGCAAAAAGGGGGATGTATTTAAAGAGTCATGACGTGTGTGAATAACTCAACAGTAAGAATCCATCTAGGCGTCAGACATGAATGAATCTTAGGAAGTGGGAGGCCGGTGCTCTCAGGAGCCTCTCTCCCCTCTCACCTCCCTACACAGCTCCCTTCCCTTCTTTAGCCCACATGGCAGAAACAACAGTTTTGCATTAAAACTTCAGGCATGTAAAGGAGGCTGACTTTCTCAATTCCAAGTTCAAAAGCCCCACAAAGCACTCTTGCCCACCTTGGGTCCCGTGATCCAGGGGAACTGATGATCCAGCCCACAGCAGATGCAGTGGAGTCATAGGATCATCTCATGGCAGCTGCCCTGGGGAGCCAGGAAGGACACAGGACAGTGAGTGAAGTTCCCGAACATGAGTGGAAAGGTGCTGGGTGTGAAGACCTCCTCCTCTTCTTCTTCCTCCTTCCTCTTCCTTCCTCCTCCTACCCCCTACTCTTCCTCCTCCTCTTCCTTGCTCTCCCTCCTCCTCCTTCCTCCCCACTCCTCCTTCTCCCTTCTCCTTCCTCCCCTTTCCTCCTCTCTCCTCTTCCTTCCTCCTCCTCCTCCCTTTTCTTTCCTTCTTCCTCCTCCTCCCTTCTCTCTCCTTCCTCCTTCTTCTCCTTTCTCCTCCTCCTCCCCCTTCCCCCCTCCACTTCCATTTTCTCCTCCTCCCCTCTCCTACCCCTCCTCCTCCATCCTCTACTCTCCTCCCCCTACACCCTCCTCCTCCTCTTTCCCCTTCCTTCCTCCTCCTCCTCCTCTCCCTCCTCCTCTCCCCTCTTCTCCCTCCCTTCTCCCTCCTCTTCTCCCTCTTGCCTCCTCCTCCTCTATCTCCCTCCTCCCCCTCTTCCTTCCTTCCCCGGCTCCTTCCTTGCACTCCTACCTCCTCCTTCTCTCTCTTCATCCTTCTCCCCCTTCCTTTCTCCTCCTCCTCCTCCCTCCTCCTCCTTTCTCCTCTTCCTCCTCCTTCCTCCTCCTTTCTCCTCCTCCTCTCCCTCCTTCTCCTTCTCCCTTCTCCTCCTTCCTCCTCCTCCCTCCTTCCCCCTCCTATCTCCTCCTCCTCCCTCCTCCTCCCCCTTCTCCCACTAATTCCCCCTCCTCCCTCCTTGTTCTCCTCCCCCTCCTCCTACCTCTTCATACTTCTCCCACCTCCTCCTTCTTCCTCCTCCTTTCTCCTCCCTCCTTCCCCCTCCTCTCTTCTCCTCCTCCCTCCTCCTCCTTTCCCTCCTCCTCTCTTCTCCTCCTCCTGCCTTCTCCTCCCCTTCCTCCTCCTCCCTCCTTCTTTTCCCCCCTCCTCCCTCCTCCTCCTTCCTCTTCTTCCCCCTCCTCTCCCTTTCTCCTTCCCCCTCCTC